TGATTATTTTCCCGACCAAACCTTCTCCAAGAAAGACTGAGGAATCCTTGCGTAGGTGAAAGTCTTTGTAGTGTATGTGGTAGTCACAATTATTCAAATAAATTTTTTCTAAAAGATTAATCGTCCTAACACTAATGGTGCAACAATGTTTATAGAAATTTTGCAACAAATGCAGACTGTCACTACAAACACAAACAAACAAAGATGTTGGAACAAATGCCGATTTTACTTTTTATTTGAATTCACATTTTACATGATCAATTTTGATGATTGATACAAACATTCCATCTGTATTAATGAGCTCGCATTGCAAGTGTTTATGATTTTTTGTGCATCAGGAGAAGTATATAACAAGTAATTTAAGTTCAAAATACGACATTGGAAAGTTTGTCAAAATGACTAGACACAAAGAAACTTCTATTCTTGATGATCACTTGTCGGGCAAAATGTATGTTCATTTCAATTTAAGTGAACTTAATTTGTTGCGTGTCTGTTAATGTTATACAAACTAAAAAGAAAAGTACTTTAGAATTTCATTTTAATTGACTGAGAAATAAAAATTAGTCTTCGATTTATAACAATGACATGGTAGACCATGAAATATCGAACCATCAACTGTGGGTGCCAACAATCAAACTATCAGAATTAGTTAGTTTGTTAGCAGCACAAGAAAAAGGACACTTTGCATATGTAGGATGCCCGTAAAATGTTACTCTGATCTTTTTCCTACTACAAATATTAATGTCTTGTCGCATTTTCATTTGACGATTTTATGAGATATTTTGGAATGTATTCTCATATAGTCTGGAAATTATATTTTGGCAATCATCACTTATCTTATTGAGTATGCTTTTGATTATTTAGCATAACCAAGCATACATATGTATCAATTAATTGCGATAAAATTGCTCTTGTAGATAGGTTATCCCTGGACGTTACAGGAGAAGAAAATTCTACTTTAAGGCGACACACCGAAAAAACTTGCCCGGGGTTGAGGTCGGGGGGCTATTCAAGCCAACCGATACTTGACACTCTATGTCAAATATGGTTTTATGATACCGAGTTGAACCGATAAATGACATCACAATGTGTCATTCAAGTCGGGTTGCCTTTCGGACATTTCGACAACCCTCACGTTACGAAGTTGAACCGAGAAACACTACAACCACGATACAAGCCGGTAAGTCGTCAAACTCTTAGACGTGATGCAATTAAAATATGGAAAATATGTCGAGCTGAAATGCAACAAATGTTTTCTCTTTTGCCTAACGACATTTCTTTAACGTGTAATATATGGAGCGTATTATACGGATTGCCGGTTTCTTATATATGCATAACGGCACATTGGATTGATCCTTCACCGTGACATTTATTCAAACGTGTAATCGCATTTAAACCGTTTGGTGCACCACATTTGGGTGCACGTCAATTTTCAATTATTAAAAAATGTCTTGCATTTTATAATTAAACTACTAAAATAATTAGCATTTCATTTGATAACGCTAGTAATAACAATCTATGTGTGGAAAAATTAAAGTGTCATTTGACACCTATTTTAAATGATAAATTATTTCATACACGTTGTTATGCACACATAATAAATTTAGTGTTCAAGACGGTTTAAATATTTGTAAACCCGTAACAAATAAGCTTAGACTTATGTTGCGGCGAATTTTCACAAAGGATAAGAAAATGTATGCGGAATATAGAAAATATTGCGAAGACGTTGGTTTCAATGCTTTGGGACCGAGGTTCGATATGCCCTTTCGTTAGAATTCGACTTATTTTATGATTGAAAATTTGATAAAAAAAAATATTTTTTCATTTTATAGATATCATTATCCGTAAAATTCTATTGGAAATCTTGATTGGGTCGTGGTTGAAGGATTGTACGATATTTTAGGCGATTTTAAAAATGCGACAATACTTTTATCCGGTATTTATTATCCAACAAGCCCTTTAGTTTTAAACCAATTATATATTTTGGCAAGTAAGATTGCACAATACGAAGACCATCACTATTGAGGGGAAGGTTGATGAGTTCAATGAAAAAGAAATTGTTAAAATATTTTATGAGCATCCCATTTGTTTTTTTTTTGTGCTGCGGCGTTAAACCCGTATTTAAATATTATAAATGTTGAAGTTTTAATTACACAAACATGTGTGGCGTTTGGTTTATATACGACTACGGATAATTTTTTTTCAATGGAACAAAAACGTTTGTTTAATCGTAATTTTCAAGATTTATTTGATCAATATAAACATTTTTTATGGAGGAGGAAACCAACAACAAAGCTCTTCAAGTCATGGATTTGCGGGTTCTAGTTCTTCTAGCGGTCATCGCCAAAGTCCGAAAGAGTTGATGACTAATTTAATGAACGAGTTTTAAATGAATCAAGTAAAAAAAGTCCATTTTGAAACGATTTGTCTGAACTAAATATGTATGTACATACTAACTTTATGACCGCATGCCCCACAAATAATGTCGAAGATTTTGAAAAAATTGATCTATTAGATTTTTGGAAACAAAAACAACCTCAATTCCCGGTTTTGGCATGCATGTCACGTGATATACTAACAATCCAAGCTAGTACCGTAGCTTTGGAGTCCGCTTTTTCTCTTAGTGGCAGGATCTTTTCAATATGTTGGACAAGACTAAGCCCGAAGTCTGTGGAGTGTTGCATCTATTTACTTGGATAGTGTTGATAGAATTCAACATACGAGATCATTACTGGTGGAGATTGAAGCGGTGGAAGAAAATTTGGAAGAAAATGAAATCGTCATGGAACTAAGCATGCCGCCAACTATTGATACCGACGACACTTACTCAAAATATGACGATGATGAGGAACTCGACATTGATGACCTTGATGACCAAGAGGCTATTAGAAGAAGAGACCGGAACTCTTTAAATCAATCCAACATGGGATACAGATGAAGATTGATGAATAAGTGTATTTTCAAATAATTTTATAATATATTTTTGGAAGACAATATAATTTTATTATAATAAAACGTATTTTTAAAGTGTATTTGAGTGACCCAATTACAAAATTTATAATGTATTAAAAATATATATCATTAAAAAAATTATAACAAAAAGTATTTTGTAATGGTCGGGACCGGGACCAGACCATCCGACCGTAACCGGTTATAACTCACCTAATCGGGATCAACATTTTTGACCGGGCCGGTTACGGCCAACATTGTTGAGGCTCGGGGCCGGTAAGGCCCGGCCGGCTCGGGGCCGGTTTTTGGCCATCACTAATCTTAACCCTTGTACGAAAGTCTCTCCATGATAAGTCTATCATTTTGACGGATATTTGGAATTCAAAATTTCATATATTTATCTACGGTTTAAACTTGAAAATGTTATTAAGAATAATCAAAACACTACGAATCGAGAATGAATGAAATTTTTGTCTCAGACACTTTCAATTCCCAACAAATGCAGAATTCCTATTATAAATGGGGAACATCTGTGATGTTTTATTTTCTAACAAAATTCGCAATTTTAAACCCTATGTTTTGAACAATTTTTTTGGTAAAGTTTATCTGTTAAGCAAGCCAACACACACACACGCATTAAGATATGTAGGCTGCCGCCTCACTTCAGAAAGCTTTTGACGACATGGGGCTTAGGCCTTGTGGACCTCTGTCCTAGTTGAACAACATTGTTCCTAGTAAAGTCCAAGTCCTTTGCTGGCGAATCAAATTATATAGAATTCCATCCAAAGATAACTTACGGATCAAAGGGGTTGAGCTAGAGTCTTATGGGTGTGTTTTCTATAGTTCCCAACTGGAATCATCACATCATTTTTTTTATCAATTATAGTTTTACTAAACAAGTCAGGAAAACATTGAACGTCTGGTGGTCTCGTTTCTGGATGATGTTCGTGGGTGGAGCATCTTTTGGTTCCTCCAAATTGCAACGACATTCATTCAAAGTTGAGGTTGATCCTAGACGTAGTGTTACAGGCTTCCTTTGGACTATCTGGAAAAGCAAAAATGATAAAGTCTTTAACGTAGGTCTGCCAGTCCCTTGGTGCTTGCTAACGAGATTCATTCCATTGTGTTTCATTGGGTTAGTCTTAGAGCCCCTTTTGATAGCCTTATAAAATGGATTGATTGGTGTCGTAATCCGAATGTAGCAGCCTTTGCTTCATGTTTGTATTCCTAGCCTCTTGCTAGCAGTGACAGACCTACAGTGGTTCCAACGATGGCACGTGCAACCGTATTAATCTGTTGTGTGTCACCTTATGTATTTTGAAACTACAATGTGAACAAGTTTTCTTTGGTAGAGTTGGTTTGCAAAACTCTTATTCCACGCTAGACCCGAGTTTGAATCCTGTTAGTGTCATTTTCTTAGGTAAATGGTGCCACAGTTTGAAATTTTTTCCATACATTGTTTCTTATAGTCAAATGGTGTCACAATTTGAAATTTTTTACCTATATTTGTTTCTTACAACCAAATGGTACCACCATTTGATTTTTTTTTCTGGGTCCCTCCCTACTTCCTAGCAATGGGTGTTTTTTTTTTTTAATGAAAGTGGCTCTTCAAGAAAAAGATATTTCAAGATTTCGTCTCTCTAAAATAACTCAACGATTTCATTTGATACATATCTAAATACAAATTTTATTAAATATACATAACACCTATTGTTAAGAATGTAATAAAAATATTGTGATTCACAATCACAATGTTAATTTGAAATAATGATAATTACTAAAAGATAAGAAATAAAGTAGGTTTAAAAGTTCTCCCAGAAAAGAAATTAAAATGGTGCCTTCTTTTTTGGAAGAATCGAACGTAAAAGTGTTCGGATTTTTTATTATTATTTTGTTCTGAAACGGAGCAAGTATATAGAAGTTGAAAGTCTAATATTAATCTGGAAGACAAATGGTTGGCACAACCTTTAGCTAGTTTTCAAGTTTATGAGAGACTCGAGAAACAAAGAATATTCAACCGCATCAAAGCACTATGGTATAACTATATATGGAACCTCAAACATGTTTACATTGATAATCATTTCAGGGAAGAAAGTAGAACTAAAATTGTGTTAGTTAAGAGAAGAAAAGAAACTATGCATCAAGCAATATATGAGAACTCCATCTGGAACCAGTTGAAAACTACAAATATTTATAAGGAGATGCATCTAAATATGGAAGATCAACCATATGTCGACCCATTTGGTATATCTGTGAGTCACAATGAAAAGCTATCGATCTCATGCAGCGACTTCAATGGTGTGATTTGGCACATATGAGGCAGCCTTGGGTTCAACAGCTACATGACCAGCTTGATCACATCCGTTTTTGTTTAATTTTGCAGCCACTGGAAGAATATCAGAATGGATTAACGTTTCCAGCTTCACAACATCAGTGATTTTCTGATTTTTATATTCTGGTAACTTTTGCTCCTCCATTTCACTGATTTTAGCTTCAAAATTGGATATCTTTTCATCAGTAACCGGCTTCTTGTTTTTGTACACGAAGTACAGTATCATTTGAAGAATACCGAAGGTGAATCCAAGCACATTTGGAATCTGGAAATCAAGTTGTAACAAGATTAAACACAGAGGAAACTAGAGAACTTCTGTTTGCAGACAATAGAATATAATTATTTTGGCTGTACCGCAATATTGAAGTCACCAAGGAGAAGACCATAAAAGAACCACATAACAGCACTAAGGGTGAGTGCCACCGATAGTAGAATTGGCATGTACTCCACACTTTTTGTTTTGATCACCTGTCGCTGCAAAGAAATCAGAATGGATATTAAAAGATGGTATAGATCATGTTACAACTATGAGGAATAAATATTATTTTCTAGTTTTACTATGTTATTGTTTAGTTTTATCCTTGCATACTTACCAAAACGCCCAAAGGTGCCACAAAAACACATAAAGAAAACACAAGGCAAATCCATCCAACTATCACCCCACGGTTAACTCCATGTGCAAAGAACTGAGTGAGGACAACAATCAATCCGAACCCCACAACTATTAGCAATACAATTAGCTTCAAACTCTCCATCTGCATAACCGTTTCTTTTCGTTAGTTTAACCTTAATTAATGATAATCATGATTGTGAAATTTCATTGTTAAAAGAGATTAGTACATACCCTAGCCTTCTTTGGTGCATAGAAGAGAAAGAAACAAATGTACAAGGTTTCGATGATGCAACCAACAGAGTTAATGGTGATGAGAAGCATGACATTGCTCTTGAGCAACGCATAGTATATCCAAAGCATGGCACTGAATAAGCCCACCACATAAGGTGCCGACTGAAACCCTTCGGTCGATCCCTTCTTGTAGACTTTGTAGAATGTCGGTCTGTGTGTATATACAAAAGTTGCTCAAAATTTAACTGAATAGAAACTTGATAGATTTAGCATGAATCAGAAATATGACATAATTTGACATAGGGGACTTACATTGGTGCAAGAAACACCATAAATGAAACAACATTACCTACAAATGTTAATTAGTGAAATTTAAATGTCAGCAACATAATATTGAAACTATATCTATATTTAGAGAGGTACCAAAGATAAAGGGGAAAAAGAAAAGGGGAGATTGAGAATGAGATTGGGAGAGAGAGAGAGAGAGAGAGAGAGAGGAATGCATTATATACCAAGAAGGCCAAAGGCAAGAGTAAGGTGAGCCAAGTTCCCAGTCATCTCCTTTGATCAGTAGTTAATACAGATATTTATATCTCTCCTCGTACGTACGTTCAAAAACTAAGAATTGGTTGTGTTTAGAGAAATGGCACTTCTGTAATTAGCTCTCTACTTCTTAGAGCTGAGATGAATGCTGGATGAAATAAGAATGCGATTCCTTTCCTTTATATAGGAGGGATAAATGGTGGTGCGTCCATTATATAAAGATGATATCATCCATATATATCTACTTACAAGGGTAAAAATAAAGTGTATTGAGGGGTTGATTGATAACTATTTAATTTTTTCTTCTATCATTTTTTAATACTTACATGTAAAATCAATACATTAATCATATAATAATCTTTTTTTTAATTAACCTGGATATCCAACCCGCTATGCGAGCCGACTAATCTCAAGACGACCACATGCTTTGCAGAGAGCCCGGAGTCACCGCATTTGAACCTCTATGGCCACAAATGGATTTTTATTCCTTCTTGGATTTGAACCTGAGATGAGATCTCCTGGTATTTTTGATTTTTGGAGTCAAGTTCAACTAATCAGGCACCACCCTTGTGGTTATATATATAATAATCTTTTTAGTTTACATGTAAGCGTTTTATAGAATTGAAAAATTAATTATTGCTAGAACTAGGTGAAGAAGATTTGATTCATGGTGTCAAATTAACCGATTTCTAGGATAAAAAGAGAGAATCAAATCAATGTAACACTAATCATGTTGTAAGGCTACCCTTTCTTTTTTACACCTCTACTTTAGTGTGGCTTAATTCATAATTATTTTCTTTTTGTTTCTAAAATGATGTTCAACTTGTAAAGGATTTTTTTTCCTCCAACTTGATTTTTGTGATCATTTCATTTTTATCATGCTAATTACTTTGATATATTACGTTGAAATTTAGAAGAGTGGTCGGAGAAATAATAACAATTATTTGGTGATTATCATTAGCAAGCCAAATTACCATTATTATGACAAATTTCTTACGTTACCACGTACACCTTATGTAAAGTTTGGTTTCAAATTACAACTTATATTACGAAGAAACAGTAGTTCCGGTGACTTTTAAACTACTAAAGTCGCTCGTATACCTGCCTTAAGACATGATTTGAAGAAGTAACATATAATTGGCTGCAGACTTGAAAACCCCGATTTTCCAAATTTTGAACAACAAAAAGCGAGTAATCAAGTCGACAACGAGTTTTCCAACATTATTTCAACAAAGGAAGCACAGACTTTTATGATTGAAGAACTTTTTTTCCTCTTGGTCTTAATTCAACACTATACAAGTCCGGGTGGAATTGCCACAACATGGGCGTTCTTCTTAGCAAGAATTATTGCAGTAGGATAGCTAGGTTTAGGCTGCTCCCATTTCGCTCGCTGCTACTATGGGAATTACCTTTTTTTCTCTTTTTTATGGTAAATATTTATCGATGTGAATCAAACCCATGTTTGAATAGAAAACGGCTCCATGAATTGGTTATTCCTAAATGAGTCATGAAGGGTATAACGAACCCTTCGCATGGGCTTGACGCGCACTTGTATGGTCTGGGAGGTCATGCGACTCAAAGAAAAAAGGAACCGGGCAACTTTCTGACGACTGTAGTGGCATGAAAAGTCGCCTAAAGTCTTGCTTGACGGTTTTATGTGCATTTTTCTTCATTTGACGTGGGTTCTCTTTTGGTATTCATCGTTTTAATTTTTTTATCCTCTCCAATCACATAGAGATACATATCAGACTAAGGCTATGCTTTTATATCTCCATTGTAATTTCATTCCAAGCTTTGTCCTCAACATCGATCATAGTGGATTCTGCGTCTCCTGTGGTTTTTCTCATTTTGGGTTTTCAACGTAAAATCGGGTGTCGTTACTATCTTTTATTTTCCGTGATCGATCTACGTATGTGTGTTGGTGTTTCCATATATTGTTTGGATTATTTGTTTGTCGAAGTTCTTGATAGATAATTCCTTTTTGTCAATAGTCTTGGGTTGAATACAGGACGTTTTCATTTTGAGTTTTACAACACCTTATCCTCCAAACGTTACATATCTTCATACGTATTCAATTCATGTTCAATTAATTATCTAAAGAGTTTAATGTTATAAACTCAAAGTAATTTCATGACAAGGACATGGTAGCATCCTTTTAAATGCATGATATAATTCTGAGGTAGGACAATGTACTCAACAATAATTATGAGGTACAACAACTTAATTACTCCACGTTCAGGTATAAACACAATATATGAGTGATGATAAAAAAAATATAATAATCAAATATAGTTTTCTAAGTCTCTTAATGAGTATTGTGTTATAATCTCCTATTTTTTCATTTTCATTTGATAACTATGTGTGTTCTTTACAGTTTATATACACCTCAATTTAAGAGTAACAAAAATTTACTGGGATTCATGTACTTAAGCACGACAACACTTGCTCACTCCTTTGCATGTTGGGTTAGGTGTCTCTTAACAAAGGGTAGGTGGCCCTTGCGAGCGAGGGGTGACAATTTCGGATGTCTCACCCACCCACAAATTGGGTTTAAGGCACGCATACAACTCATTTATTTCCAAATTTTGCAGCTAATTAAGTTTATGTGCTAATTCATTCAATCCTAGGAACGAGTATGTGTTAATGTGACGCCAATTCTTAAAGATGTGTTGGAGTACTTGTATTTGGCCACCTCATCTCCAATTATAGATGGTGTGTCCTTTGCTTGTAGGACCCATCACTGTCGTGGGTGCGATTGATTAAACATAAAAAACTAGGATGTGCATTATTTGGTAAGCTTATCTAACTTTGAGAGATGTGTTACGTATGAATATCATAGGATAATATCATGGGTGCTACCAATTGCTCAACCTTACACGTTTTTTTTAATTATCTATTTTCGTTTTTTTATTATTAAAATACTGAAAACTATATTCAAAGAACTTTATTATTAGATGTTGACACACAGCAACGGTTTGTTAGTAATTTATTAGATTCGAAATGTTAAGTTATTTTAAGATAGTTTACATATGAGAAAAGTTCAAATTTAATTGTAATAAGATCAAACTTTATTGGTTACTTGTTTGGAATCATAACTCTTGGCACTTTACATAATAGTGATTGCAAATATAAGCCATAAAGTTGGTGTACGTACGTACATATATATTCATATACCATAGTCACTTGATCACGACAAGTGTTGATGTACACAACATTCCTATTTAGTAAATTAGGATACAGACCGTACATCAATCATATTACGAAAGCAAAAAACACATACAATACTATGTCAAATTAGATTTTGCGTTTGTTTTCGTGACATACCTTCACAACGCTTCACTTGCTTTATTATGAATTTCTTTATCTTACTTTATTATAGATATAATACAAGGATGAGCTAATTAACACATGATATCATGTAAGTATAAAGAATATCTTTAATCTAAGAACTCCTATTCACATTTGTCGTTTTATTGAGAAATAATCTAAATTTGTTGAGTTCTAATATCAAAATTTTATGTTGTCTAATGATTACCAAGGATGTGTTAATTGATGGCCAACAAAAGTTTTACAATTACCAAAGGGTTTTTGGCCTAGCAGTATGTGAGCCTTTGGCCTCTTAGGAAGTCAAGAGTTTAAACCCAACGAAAGGTGAGGAAAGTGTGTGAGTTTATTTGTTCTATTTGCCGTATATAGATATTATATACTTTAAAAAAAAGTTTTACAATTGCCATGTATGGTTTCTTTGGGCTGCCGGATATATTGTGTAATTAAATATGTATAAAAATAACTATATTAGCTTGATCAAGCTTTGTATTAAAACTTTACATTGTTTATTTAGTTGTTGGACAAAATTAGTGCCTTATCATTGGAACAAAAAGCCTGGCGTCATGTTGTTTACGTTGTCCACTTAATTTAGGTGACCCAACCATTGCTATTGCGCTCTATCTTCCTCTCTAATTCCTTCTTTTTCCTCTTCTAATTTCGAATTTGCACTAGTGGGTTTAAAAGTTTTCTTTCCCTTTTTTCCTCCTTGATAGCTCCAAGATTCTACCTGTACGTACCGCTAATCAGATATCTGAAAATTCCATGCTCAAGATAAGCCATGTACAGCCTCAGGGCTGAAATTTGTTTTATAGTTGTAATTTATTAGACATAAATAACAAGATCGTGATTCTAGTTCATAAGCTCCGGATGGACAAGAAAAAGTGTCAACACGAGGTTCTAGATCATTAGTTAACGTATCTCTTAACTAGCAAAATAAATCCTCTAAAAAGATCAAGATAGATTGGAATAAGGAGTAATTAGCTTCATTACTAAAAAAGAGACTATCACCGATGGAAATTTCCGTGGAAAATCCATCTGAAATGGCCTTTCCGGACGGAAACAGTCCATCGGGATTTTCTGACGACCATTTTCGACGGAATTCAAATTCTTTTCTATGGCATATTCTGTCAAAAATCCATACGTAAAACTATGGAAATCCTTTGCGAAAAATCATGAATAGGCTTTTTGCGATGGTTACATAGTAGCGATTATTTAGTTTCCAACAGGCTTCCGAAAAATTGCATTTTTTTAGTTCTTTAATTTTTATCAGGATATCCGTCAGAAACCCGTCAAAAATGTTGTTCATTTTATAAAAAAATTGAATTTTCGTATTTTCCATCTAAAAAACAAAAAAAGTCCATGGATTCCATATCCGTCACGGCATTAGCTTCTTCGGGACTTTAAATATTAATTAAAAATTTATTTTTCTAAAATCAGGATTTCGTAGTAAATCCATCAAAAAGTCTAAGAATCTTGCTTTTATAAACGGTTTCTAATAATCAAATAACATTTCTTCAGAATTCTGTAAGAATTTTTTTAGAATTTTTAAAAAATTAATTAATTTTTTATGCTCAAATAATGGATTTTGTAAGAAATCGGTCAGAAAGGTCTAAGATTTTTCTCGGTTAGAAATCCGTCAAAAATCTATAACTAATTTCCAAGGGAAAAATCGGAACGAAATATCCCTAGGTGAAAGTCAATTAAGTATATCGTAGTGTAGGCGAGGGAGTTGGAAAGGTAGCCCGTACGACGTATCTATGATATATTACTCGAGTGGATGAGCTTGCCACATTATATATAACACTATTAGCTCCTGCAGATTTGATC